CTATTTTTAGGGTTTTTTTTTGTTTAAACCGCTTATTTTGATTCTTGGGTTTGTTGCTTAGGATTATCATCGTTCACTAATAATGAACAACCCAAGAGACTGTTTTCTCCTTTTGGATATGTTACAGATGGTATTTCTACTTTTCTTATTAATTTGCTCTGGTTATTTATTTATTTTCTGTTCACCCGTTTGATGTTTGTTCATGTGATGGTAGGGTAAAGTTCCTCATTGCTCTGAAAACCATTGACTGGTCAACAGGTCAATTTTTCTTTAGTGTGCGAGCGTGCCACTGCTAGCAATGAGAAATCCTAGCAGACTTTGAAATAGATAACTTCCGCCCCAAGTTATTGATTTCTAAAACAAATAATTGTGAATTTGGGTGAGGAATATCTCCCAAATAAGTTCTTTTCTTACCTCAGACTAGTGAAGACTTCACAATTTTTCACAGTACAAGGTTGGTAGTTGTGGCCATAATAAATGAAAAGAAAACGAACTGTTTTTTAGGTAGAACTACTTTTACAAAACTCAAAAGGGAAAAACCAACTCTAGAAAGACAAAAAGAAGGCTGAAATTCCAATTCTGTTTGGATAGATGCTTCTGATCCTAATTGAATTGGGTATGCTTGTGCTGGATTGGACTGTCAACAACTTCAACTGCTAAGCTTTAGCTGTAAATCGATACCAACGTTCGAGTTTGGTAGGGGCTTTAATCTACTTCAAGCCCTGGAAGGCTTTTTGAGCAGGCAGAATTGCGGTTTCTTTAATCTGAAAGGGGGCAAAAGTGGCTGGACTTGAGGATTACTGAGCTGAAATTGCACTATGGTACCTGTTCTGCTTGATTAGGGCTCTCCATAAATTTGTTGAGGTTTTCATATTTTTAAAAAACCCAGACTCTGCTTGATTTGGCTTTTGCTGAACCAAATTTGTAACAAGAGGAATCTCGTTTTGAATGACTTATTTCTCTAAGTCTAAAACTGGAAGTTTTGATTTGTAGCTGGCTTCTTTCTTGTGGCTCAATGAGCTTTTGGTTGTTTCAGTTTGTTTGAAGGTTCCTTGAGATCAAGTGATCATTTTGAGTTTTTGTCTTTGATTGATCTTTTTGGTTGTTTGATTGTCTGATTGTTTTTGCTCTGTTCACCCTCTCCTATATTTATAAGAAATGTTTTGGAATGGGGTTTCTAATTCTTTTAATAATGGGCGGCAAAAATTCTCTAAAGATCTTTCATTTTTAAATGCAAAGGAAAATGGGGTTTTATCAATTTTGGCAGATAGGCTCTCAATAGTTAGTTCCTAAGGCAATCACTTCCCTGTGTTTCTTGAAAGGAAACCTAACCCTTCTTCCAATGTAACTGCTCTTGTAAGAGTTTCAAACTGTGATGGTTAGTTTGATTTTCTGCTTGAACAACTCCTTACTTTCTTTTTATCTCAAAAGCACAGTCTGCTTATCTGTTGAAAATGGTGCCTTTCTTTGGAGTTGAATTTTCTCTGAGTATATAAAAGGGATTTTGATCTATTGATGGCAGAGATTTCAGAGATGTCCTTCTTTTATACCTGCCCTTATTAACTATTTATCAATCTCAGTTGGCATCGTTGGCATCGTCTTCCAGGTGAGATTATTTCAGTTAGGGTTTCAATTTATTGGGTAATTTCTCTAATCTTACTCTGTATTTTTCTATCTTCTGCTAGATCGTTGTCTCTCTCTAGTTCGTTGTCACTAGTTGGCTCGTTAAATCTGCTTCTTCACATTTCATGCTCAAAGAAAAAGCAGATATCTGGGATTTGGGTTGACACAGAGATGGCCAAAAGATTGAGCTCGCAGCTCTTCGTCAGCAGTATTCTCTCTTTCCC